ACGAAAAATCACTCCCTAGAGGGATGGCCATACTGCAACCCCTTCTTCTCCATTCTCTTCTCAGGATATTGGGCACACATGCACGTGTGCCCGGCGTGACTTTCAAGCCCTTGGGTTCAGGACTAGAACTGGTGGGGTTGCCTGTGTGGGAATCCAGCACCTTAACCATGATGCCACCTGCTGGCCCTTGTAGATAACTTTTAAAAGTCTAGAAAACCATTTGCAGGTCTAGTCAGAAGCAGCCAGGTATGAACCTCTTCCCTTTTGAGCAACAAAGATAACCATGTGCCCCCACCGATGTGGATCCCAGTGTACTGGGTTGTTGGAAAAGTCACAATTTGACATGTGACATGACCTATTTTGTTCTGTTTTTCTATGCAATAATGCACCGTGACTTTTCTGACAACCCGATATTTGAACCAGCAGTTGGGGTCTGGTCTCTGCACTTCCCCCCTTGTTCCTCTGCCCAAACACTCCATTCTTCTGCTCTCTGAAGTCCTACAGAAATTGCCTGCGGTTTATGGGCTGCACCTGCTGCTCGGTTACATAAACATTAGGTTGGGAGTAAGACCCCGGAGTGCAGGTCTGGCCAGCTGAAACAGATGGAACTGAGCCTTCCGGAGACCGTTCCTCTCATATTTATTTACCTGGCAGGCACCAAACGATCCCGTTTTGCTTTATGTGCAAAACTTTCCTCCCAGGCCAATTTTCTGGTGCCCCCAATGACATATCGCAAAATGAAATAAAAGTATCAAGAACAGTAATTTATTCCTGAAATACATCTTCCTAGAGCCACAGAGAGCAGCCATGCCAACCTCTCTCAGCCTGAACCTGAGCTGTCACCCACGTTAAATTACTTTCTAAATCAGAGGTAAACTTTCTATCATGAAATACCATTCATAGCCGCATCAATCCAACCTGAAATCTGCATTACTCTCTTGACCCGAACTCCTAAACACTCACAACTCACAGATCGACCCACTTTGCTCTATCAATATGCCTCGCCCCGATGGTGTATTACACTGATAGGCTCCCGGAGCCGCGCGCTACATTGATGTATAAGAGCAATACGTTAGCAGAAAGCCCAGCTCACGGGGTGATGTATAGCTGAAGTGGTCATCGGAGAAAGCGTGCCAGAGATGGATGGCTCGAACAAGGGCACCGGCTGGGAGAGAACAAGTTCAAAGTGGGTTTGGAGTAACTGTGGAAGCCAAGACAAACCCGACTTGGATCCTTCCAGACCCCATCCCCACTGGCCTCGCAGGGCCCCTGGTTTGCAGGAAAGAGAGCTGCTGTAGCCATGACTAATGAGCTAGACCTTAGTCCTGTTGGTCTTAAGAATGTTTGCAACTTCGATACATCTGTCCAGAGGTCTGGAGGAAAATGACACGGAGATGTCATTTGTACTTATTCAATCTATGATGTATTTTGTAATAAAATTATTTTTTAAACTTAAAAAATTATTAAGTTTGCTATAAGGCATACATGGTCACCCAAGAGAGACTGAGAATGAGAGAGGAAAAGAGAGACAGCAAGTCACCAAGTCCAGGACTTGAACCATGGTTGGCCATGTGGGAGTCCAACACTTTAATCACCATGCCATCTGCTGGCTCCCATAATATTAAATAAAATTGCATAAGGACATCTGTTTATTTTTAAATTATCGAGCAATTTGGAGAACTGTTGGTGTACCAAATGACACATAAGAGAATGCCCATAGCCACATCCCGGTTCCATCCTAAAGCAGGGGACACCAGCAGGGACCATGGCTGCGGAATAGAACGTCATTCACACTAGCTATGGTCACGAGCACCTCCCTGCACATACAGTAATGGCATTGTTTTAGCTCGAGTACCCATGCCCAGCGGATTTAGGCTAGGCTCTGGGGCCCCGGGGAGGCCGTTCCTCTTAAGTTACAGTGAGGGTGTGCACACTTAAAATATCTCACACCCGGGAGATGGTTAAGCTCGCGAGGACATATTCATCAACGCCATAGAGAACCGCGCCCTCGGTCAGAAGTCCAGGTGAGTCGCGAGGAATGTCAACAAGATCAGCCCTTTCCCAGGAGAACGCCACCTGCTTTTATGTCAGACTTCCTAGAGTATAGTGCTGTCCGGCCAGTGGCTAGAAAGTATTTCATATTTAAATCTCTGACACTCTGCGCAACTCCGAGACTCTCACTTGCCTTTCCTCTGCTCTCGCTCTTCCACGCCGGGCTTCACGAGAATGCGTGACTTCTGCCTGCGCATCCCCGCCTGCGCCTCTCCTCCTGCGCATCCCAGCCTGCGCATCCCAGCCTGTGCATTCCCGCCTGCGCATCCCCGCCTGCTCATCTCCACCTGGGCCTCCCCACCTGCCCATCACCACCTGCGCATCTCCACCTGCTCATTCCCACCTGCACATCCCCACCTGCACATCTCCACCTGCGCATCTCCACCTGCTCATTCCCACCTGCTCATTCCCACCTGCGCAGGAGGGGCTGGCAAGTGGCAAGGTGGTTAAGGGTGCTGGACTTCCACATGGCCAATCGTGGTTTGAGTCCTGGACCTGGTGGCTTGCTTTCTCACTTTCCCTCTCTCACTCTGTCCTTCTCTGGTCAAGTTTAAATAAATAAATAAATAAATATTCTTAAAAAAAAAAAAAGAAAGTTTAAAAAAAAAAAAGGCAAGAAGGAAAATAATAGCATTTATTGAGGTCTTATTAAGTGAACTCCCCCCAACAAAATCCATGATATGAGCCTATGTAATCTTTTAATCTTTTTCAGGTTTCTATGACTTAACACCAAAAAATGTACCTGGCGTTATTAAGTAAATAACTATTGGAATATGTGAATGAGCCTAGTTAGTACCGGAAGACAGTAAAACCTGCTCCATGTCTAAACGTTCCATAAACTGATATAGCTTAAAGGAAAAAAGGTGGAAAGTCTCTATTTTATCACGCACCGCCTGAAACCTGCACAATCCAGAGGCCACGCCTACCTGGGGAATCACACACATCAGCCTCCTTTTAACTGAGCCAAACTACTGGTATTTTCTCATCTGTGATCAGTGAATACTTTCCTTATTTAGGCAAACTTCAAAACACTTACTGGTGCAGAGTTTGCACGTTCAAGTATGCTAATCAGCTAGCCAGACAAGCAATATTTTTTGCTAAAATTTTACATGGGCCCCGTGGAGGACACATGTCACACTGTACCTTAAGACCAGGAAGATATTGTCCCGGGGTAGGATTGGTGAGACCAAAAGTGCAAGCAAGATCACCCCGATAAAGGGTGTTACTTTCCTTTCTGCAGGCGAGGAGGTAGACGTGAGGGCAGTCAGTAACTAGTCTAAGGTCATATCATCACCAAGCAGCTTCCCTGGAATTCGCACTCCAACTATGTGAAAAACACGTCCAAAGCCAAGGTTCAGGGTCTTTCTATAGCACACATGGATAAATCTATCCGAGGTTTAACCAACTAACAGAAGCAGAACAGTTTTCTTTTTAAAAAAAATAATAATAATGGCATAATGGTTACTTTGCTGGACTTACATGCAATAGACTGCAGTTCGAGCCCCAGACCTGGCAGTTAAAACTCCTGCCGGGCGCATGTGCATGTGTGCCCAAAATCCTAAGAGGAGAATGGAGAAGAGATTGCACCATGGCCATCCCCTGGGGGTGACTTCTCACTTTCTGTCTGTCTCTCTCTGTCTGTGATGAGTGCACATACCATATAGCAAAAATCTCTTCCTTAAAAAAAAAAGTCGTCATGAAAATATGAATGTTTTAGTGTTTCTGAGTTATTTATTTGATTTGCGATACTAGGTTAGCTATTATCTGAGGCAGAGCTTTTACACGGCAACTTTTAGGCAGGAGTAAAGTAAGTTAAGAAAATCAATAAAATAAAAAGGATTAGTCCCAGAAGCAATTCTGAAGCTGACAAGATTTATTAAAGGTATTATCTTTATAATAATCCTTATCAGCACACATGATTCTAAAAGCAAATGTTTTCCACCATTTATTCAAATACAGTATAACAATTTATTTAGTATAAATATATATATATACATACATATACAAAATTTTACAAAAACACTGAAAAGTCCCTGACCAATGAAGACATGAGTGTAGGATGCAGAAACTAAAGACTGAACGCTGAGATGAGGAGGACTGGCATACCGGGGCCTGGGCAGGTTCTGTGCAGAAGCACAGCCTTCGGGAAAGACCCTGGTGTGTAAATCAAACTTCATCAGCTGGACAGCAGTAGGGCTCCTGGCTAGAGGGCTGACTAGTAAGAATACTCACAGGCTTTGACAGAATACACGCGCAAATGCCAAATGAAAAGGTAACGAAAGCAAATGGCTACACGGCCCCACTTTAAAGCACCTGAGGACGTAACACGTGGCTCTCGACTATAGCTCTGACCATGCTGCCCAGTATTTATCCACACCCTCCCTAATGAGGCCGTCATCGGGTTTATTCACGGTACTAAGATGTACAAGCCAAATGTACAAGCAGGATCTGCATGTGAAAAGGATGAGATCATTTAAAAGAACCAGTCTCTGGAAACTGCTCAATATCACCCAAGCAGCGTCACTGAGTATCTTTTCAAATGACGTGCATTCTTGAGGTCAAAAATGTCCAACTATTTCCTTAATGTAAGATCTCATGGGTAGAATGTTATTACTTGATCATACATAAAGGTTGTTTAAAGCTGTAAAATATAATAATAAAGATCTTTAGTTGTCATCAAGTCATAAACGGATTCGTTTCACTACCCCTTGAACAAAACAAGCATTAAAATTAAAAAGGTCCAGCCTCTGATCTCCCAACCCCATCCAACAATTGAGTGTGATTTTGATAAGGATTAGTTAGTTTTAAATTAGAGGCATGTAGCCCAGAACACAGATAGCACTGTAAACTCTCGGGCCCATGAGGCATAATATTAATATATCATTCATATATATATATATATATATGAATGATATATTTATGTATGTGTGTGTGTGTATATATATATATATATATATTTTTTTTTAGAGAGTCACTTTTATTTTGGGAAGAAATAGGAAACTATGCCCTCGAACATACGATTACAAACGGCAGCAAGTCTTAGACAACAACACGAGGGAAGCTGGCCTCGTTGTTTGGTCGGCACTCTCACCACAGACCCCTCCTGGCTGTCTGCAGGGAGAGCAGACACAGCCCAGGGCATCCGACTGTCTGCGTTTCTACTCGCCAGAACCTGACCTTTTACAAACAGACGAAGGAACCAAGTAGTGAGAACATATCGATGTTACGGACAAACGTGAAATTCAAGGCAGGAAGAAACTAGAGGCGTGACTAGCCACTTGGTTCCGAATTCCTCATTTCATTCTGTGGCCCTCCACGGTCTGGCCCTGGTCCATTTTTGTGGTTTGCAATCGGGTCTCCACGATGCTTATCCCCAGTAAGGTCCAGGGTGGACTTCTTGAAGTATTTACACTGATTCCTTTAATATAGCCCTGCATAAGGGGAACTGCCTGCCAGGCTCACAGATGGTCATGAAGTGTCCCCACGCCTGCACTCACACCCACTGGATCCTAGCGGGCATGCACCCGTCAGCGCCCCCTGCTGGGGACGGGCGGTGGAGCTCATAGACGCGCTTCGGCACACCTTTGGGCCTGCTGCAGTCCGTCCTGCCAGGTCTGGGCTGCTGTTCTTCCTTTCTGCTATTCTGATTACGAGTTTCCCAGGGCTTCAACAAATTGGGTCTTTCTTCGAATTCGAAACATAAGAGGAGTGACTTCGCTAGAGACTCTAGCTCCCTGTGGCCAGCCTGAGGTGGTCCCCTCTGGCAGCTGTCAACAGAGGTGGAGGAGGGTACGCAGACGTCACTGTGAAAACCCCTGGCCACGTTGCAAATGCCTTCCACACAGTCCCGGAGCAGACTGACATCCTGGTGGCAGCCTGCGAGAGCGGGGAGCCAATTAGCCTTTGCCGTTTTTATGAGGAATTTATCACAGTTACATGACTCTAGATATCTTTTAAGTCAAAGTGACCCTATCAAGACAATTTCAAACTACTTAAGGTTATTTAGTTAAAGTGCTTACCTGGTTTTAGGATCTAATTATTTAGGCACAAGTACTTATATGTATAGTAAGTGGGAATTCAATTACACAAGTTCCAGTCGGTAACTAATATCAATTATTAGCATCAGGTAGGTGACTTCATGGCAAGCCAGAAATGAAAAGGGAAGGTGTCTGAGATTTTCAAATGATTAAATTATGATTACAAATTCCATTTGGAGTATATATACCTCTCAGTGTAGAAATAATCATTTGAATAGCTTTCTCCAAGCACTGATTTAATTTTAAGAATTCTGGGGCAAGAATAACTATCTTCTTGGAATCTTGGTATCCAGAATTTTCTTCTTGAGTTCTGAAATGTTCCTGTGGAAACAAAATTGGCACTTTAAAATATGTAATAGTATTAATAGGCTACATGGCAGTAAGGCTTAGGTGACATGATTTCAATGGCCAGAAACTCATCTTTAAGAAAGAGACTTTAATATTCTCCCCAGCACTGAACTCTATTTCTATAGGCAAGGCCAAAATACAATATTAACAATTACTGTTCTCCAAAAGACATGAGAATTTTCAATTAATTTTATATCAAGGTCCTATGATCCTATTACCTGAAAGCAGAATAAAGTAACAGTACCATGTATTATTCAATACCATAAAAGATACATTTATTTAATTTTTAAGAGTTCAACTTGAAGGGCGGCCCTGTAGCTCAGTGAGTAAACACTATGTGTTAGGAGCTGGATCCCACATGGCCAAGTGCAGTTTGAATCCTGACCCCAGCAGCTTGAAAAACACACCAAGCATGTGTGCACACGTGCCCAAAATCCTAATGGGAAGGAGAAATGGAAAAGGATCGCATGTGTCCACGACCCGTTGGGGGGGGGTGCTTTTTCTCTGTCTCTGGCGAGGGCATGTGCCCTCTGGCAATTAAAAAGTAAATAAAAAGGAGTTCAACTTTATAATAATGCTCATTTACTTAAATAAGAAAAATTCCAGCCACAAGAACTACAATGATTATATACTTAGTCTATGTATTTTTATTTTCCTGTGACATGGGAATAAAATAATTTGCCTAATTCACCTGTATTTTTAAAGTCTGATCACATTATTAAACATAAGTTTTTAGCTTTTGGTGACTATCCAAGCAAAAGCTAAAAGTTACTAAACCAGTACCTATATCAATATTCATCAGTTTCTACACAACCCCTTTCCATCACTAAACCCAGTGAGTGAGGCAGTGAGGAAGCACTGGGGCGTCCACGTGCTTTCACCCGACACGCACAGAGCGGTGGTCTCCGCGGAGGGTAAACACTGACATGAGAACACCTACGCTTGAACCAAGTGACGTAAAGTGCACAACATTGCACCAGCTGGTGGCGTAGTGGTCAAGGCGGCTGGATCCCACATGACCAACCAGCAGGCACCTGTGCATGTGTGCCCAAAATCCTGAGAGGAGAATGGAGGAGCAGGGACTGCAGCATGGCCATTCCCCCGGGGTATGATTTCTCACTCCCCCACCGCCCCTCTCGGTCTCTCTCCAGCAAGCACACATACCGTATAGCAAAAACTAAAATAAAAACCAAAAAGCAACAAAATTAAACCAAACCAAAATTAAACAAAAACAATTTAAAGTGCTTCTTACCATTTTCCATTCAGCAAAGATGTCTTCAAGAGATCTAATCAGTCCTATGGCATTAGCTTTTATCTGTTCAGTAACCTACCAAGGAAGGGAAATTATATAAATAATCATTCAGGAGTAGAACAGTGCTAGAAATGGGTGGGACCAGGTCAGGGAATGTTCTAGTTTAGAAGCCAGAAGAGGAGAGTTCTGTTGCTGCAACTGCAGTTAAATAGCTTGAGATACGTAATCATCTAAGTGGGCTTTGTTACATGGATAACTCACACGTCGACTTCTACATGAAATACCGACTCCCGCTGATATTAGTCATAAGAATTAAATTTGTCTCGTATATAAATATTTGTAAGGACGAAACTTAAAGCGTCTTAGAAGTGGGGGAGCAAATATTTTGTCCTGAGAGCTTTACAAAAGTCTTAACTACGTGACTCTCATGTTCAGCCTTGAGCCACTGCGTTTCTGTCCTCATTTCACAAAGACCCGATCCTGCGTCCCAGCTTCTAGGACTCAGAGCCAGGGGGAGCCCGAGTCCACGTGGTGAGCCTCGGCTCCCGTACTGCTCAAAGCGGATCCTGAGGTGACTTCTCAGCAGTTTTGCTGGGGGTTCTGTTTAAGTACTTCCTTGGCTTTACCCACAGAGCCCAGCCCTAGGTCCAACTTAAATTTTCTCTGTGTGGTAAAAAGAGAAAATCCAAATTATTTCCCCCCCGCCAGCTTTAAAATGATAATGCCAGTGCCTTATGTTTAAGCCTATTTTCTCTCTCTTTGGATAGCTTATTTTTCTTCTGTAGGTTCTCACAATTCTTAACATACAAGAACATGAAAAGCGAAAACTCTACCATAAATAGCAGAGCACAGTCATCCCTTATTAACCTAGGGGATTTGTTGTGGGTACTGAAATGCATGGATGCTCAAGTCCCTTACAGAACACAGCAACCCAAGGGATTCCCGCACTGCAGGGAGGAAAGGGAGCGGAGGGCAGAGACCACATGAAGACGTGAATAATATAAACCGTATACGAGACGCCCGACCCTCTGCCATTTATTTCCCCAAAACCATACCATGGCCAACTACAGCACCTACGCTCACGGCTTCCTAACCGCGTTCACATACACTTCATCTCTGTTTTCCATGAACTTATCCTAGACTCTACTTACTGCCAGCAGAAATTCTGCCTTGCAAACAGTGACAGACAGTGTCGTGGTGATCAATGGTGCAGCTGCTGGCGCAGCCGACCTGGAGATGCTGGCTGGATGAGAGCTCGTGGTCCACCCGGGCCTTCTGTGGAAGTTGCAGCATGGACCTGAAATCAGCCTTACATCTGCTGGGCACGTTAGACCCATGGCTCTTGATTTAGGGACACTATGAACTACTTTTGAATGTATTTTTATCTTTTAAAACAAAAAATCAGAAAGACAGAGAAAGGAGATGCACCAGAGAAAGAGGGCACATGAGAGCGCATAGAGTGACGAGACCGGCCGGCCCGTGTTACTAAGCCTCCCCCTGCTCTGTTTCTGTTCTCAGAGAGGGTCGCTCTGTCAGTCCTCCTGCCTCAGCCTCCCAAGTAGCTGGAACAACGGTGTGCATGACTGTGCCGGCTTTTAGGATGGGCTCGGGATTGAACCCGGGCCTCCACTGTGGCCTCAGCCGGCCAAGTGAGCTCATAAACACACGTGATCGTCTCCCTTTGTAAAATGGAACGACTGAGGCTCAGGTAAGTTGTTCAGGTCTTCTCGGGAAGTAGGAGAGTAGCTTAACGCTGAGTGTCTTTCCCCAGCTCTGAGCCGGGGGCTGTCGGGGCAGAGACTGATCTGCGCAGCCCTACAGTCTGAGGAAGGAGGCGGAGGACCCTGTGGCTCCCATGGACAGTTTCACTTTAGCTGAGGGGAGCTAGAAGCACAGTAAGATCAAGGTCTCCCTAGAAAGAAAAAAAAATCTAGTTTATTCTATGCTTTCCTTGAAACAACCACCCGAGGACTGGAAGTCACCCGGTGTCACGTGACCCACTTTCCTAAATCAGCCAGGGTGTATGCAAATGAGGAGGCAGCTCTGCCCCCAACCACCAGAGCTAGAGAAAGGAGAAAGACAAAGAGGGACTTAACTACCAGCTCTTACAAGAAGATTCTAGAACTGACAAGGCTCTGAAGTTCACTGTCCTAAGACTTTAAATTTTATCTTCCTAATCTCCACTTCACTAATAGTATTTCTCAGTAAAGAAAATGAACCCATGAACAATAATTGGCAAAACTTATTTATGTAGCATGATGAGTTTTGGAGTGAGAATGTAAACTCCTGCGTCAGGACTTTAGAGCTGGGTGACTGGGCAAGGGAGTGACAGTCATCCCACCCTTGAAAAGCCGGGAGACTGGCACTACTGTACGCAAAGCGCCCAGCACCTGTCACAGGCGATCACAGCGGGCGTGTGACGCAGGCCTTATTACAGAGACAGGTGAAGAGTCAGCACTGGGCGGTCTGCGGAACGGTGAGTGGAAAGGGGCAGAGCTGCCCTTCAAACGCAGGCCTTCTACTGAGGTGTCAGCACCCAGACCCCGACGGACCGCCTGGCCACAGCTCTAGAGTCACGTTTTAACACTAGGTAGCTGGATTAGCTCCCGGCTTTTCAAGGGTGGCGTTACTATTAGTCCCAGGTATTTCCTGAAATCTCATAGCTCTGTATCTCGATATGGAATAACTGATGTGAATGTCCTGGAAAAATATTTAGTTCAAGATAATAGATCAGTTCTACTAGTTTCCATCCCTGGGTGAAAGACAGAAAGAAGACAAGGGGAGAGTGAACACTAGGTGTCACTGCCACACGCCGCTCTGCTCAGGCGTTTCCGACACATGGATTCACGCTCCCAACAGCTGTGCCAGAACCGAGCAGAACACTGGTGACAATGGAGGCTACGGCGATGCAAGGACAGCTTGGGAACATACCACCGTGACATCATGACACCATCAGCAAACTGAAACACACGAAGCTGGTCCTGAGCTTGGTCTTCCTGCCTCGGCCCCCGAGTAGCAGGGATTACAGGTGTGTGTCAGCTCCCCTAGCTCTAAGTGATTTTTAAAGATCAGTTTTCTCTGTAATCTGGTACTTCACAGAACATTCTCTGGCTCATCTTACCTCCTCTTGTGTACACTCTTTTGAGAGTTCCTGCTGGAGCTCTTTTGCTTTCTCCAGTCCACAATCTAAAAGGATCTTCATTCCTAAGCCTATACCATCACAAACAGCAACCACAAGTTCTTCCTATAAAAAAATGTTAAAGCCTGAACTAGTAAATTCGAGTTTCATATTTAAAAACATTACCAGTAATTAAATTTTATTTTATAGTAAAAAATTATTAGTAATTAAATTTTATTTTCTGCTTATTTAGGACAATAATATATTCCAGATTCATTACATTCAACTAAAGCTGGAATACGAATGAACAAGAAAATGAAATGACTAAATCTCGGGATCAGCGCTGGGCATAATGGCTGTGTCACTGGACGCCCATGTAGTCAACTATAGTTTGAGTCCCGGACCCGGTGGCTTAAACTCATACTGGGCACGTGTGTGTGTGTGCCTAAGATCCCAAAAGGAGAATGGAGGAGAAGAAATTGCAGCATGGCCATCCCCCCTGGGGGGTGATTTCTCACTTTCTGTCTCTCTGTCTTTGTCTTTCTGGAGAGCACATGCACCCTATAGCAAAACAAAACAAAACAAAAACCTCTCCAAAAAAATAAATAAATAAAAGAGTAAATCTGTAATTTAGTATTCTACATATAACATGTTATAAAAATATTTATCATCCTAGCTAGAACACTAGGTTGCTAAAACACTGTATAGTCTAATAAAATACATGTTTTCAATAGAATAATTAAAGCAAGATGGAGCCAACATTTGACATGGCAGTTAAGGTGCTGGACTTCCACATATCTGACCACAGTTCTAGTCCCTGCCCTGGCAACTTGAAACACACTGGGTACAATGAGCATGCATGCCCAAAATCCCAGGAGGGGAATAGAGGAGAAGGGATTGTGGTGTGGCCATCCCCTGTGGGGGGTGATTCCTCACTTTCCCTTTCACTGTCTCTTTTTGACTCTCTGGCAAGCACACATGCACTATAGCAAAAGCAATTAGGAAAAAAAAAAAAAAAAAAAGAGAAAGCCAATACACAGTTTTTAGAATTACAGTTTCTTCATGTGTTGATTGGCTGAGAAAGCAGCTATCATCAAATCAAGGGTCCAGAGGTAGAAATGAGGTTTGCAAAATCACTTAGCACATTTAATCAAGTTAGATCAAAATGGTTCTAAATCTCATTGCCAAACAAATGGGTCATCAGAAAAGTCATGATGTGTTTTTTTTTTTTTTCTATGGCAAAAATGCATGGTGACTTTTCTGGTGACCCTATATTTTGAAACATGAAAGAACTTGCCATCTTTAGTAATACTGTTACCAGAAGTCTCTCATGTTTACTCAGATAAAGTCTTTTAAAACTAATGTTGCTAAATTACCTGGTCACTGGCAACCTTATGGTTACTGTCTTCCAGAAAATGAAGCTTGCTCCCTTTCAGGACCGTTAATTGTCCCACGTACTTTACAGCTTGTTGTATAATTTGGATCACTTTCTTTTGTGCTTCTTTTACCATTGATGAAATATCTGAACAGCATCCCTATAAGATAAAAATAAACCGGAGTATCTGATCCATGTGATCACAAGGGGTAGGAAAAATTACAAAAGGAAAGCAATCTGAAGAAAGCAAATTCTGCATTCACTAATACAGGGACCACACTTCATAAACGTCTCAGTCGACACCTGAAAACACGCTGGGCTCTAGCTACTGAGTGCAGAGCGATTAAGAGTCTACACCCTCAAAGAACTTTCGTGTTAATAGGTGACACAGGGAAATGCACCGTTAAGCAGACATAAGACAGTATTAAACAGCGAATGCCGAAAGAAAGGAACAAAATGGTAGCTTTTTTGCTTTTGAATTTTTTCTGTCCTGATAACCATCTGGCTGATGGCTAATTATTTCTTATCCTCAAGGGAGATGGAAAAGGAGAAAAAAAATGGGGGGTGGTGAACCTCAAACAAAAGCCCTCCCATATGCACTTTTTTATGTGAGAGGAAGAAAGCTTTTGTTTTTGTCCGCACAGCCAAACCTCACCTCGCCTGAGACAAGGTAAGCAGGGAAAAAGAAAAAAAAAAAGCCTTTGCCTCTGTGTCAGCAGGCCTGACAGACTCAGCTTGAACTGAAACTCAACCCCTAACCACGACAGCCTTGGCCTCTCTTCCCAAAGTCCCTCACCGAGGACCACATGGGGCTATGGAAAAGCATGAACTGGGCCCAGGCTGCCTGGGTTCAACCCAGCTCTCTCACGGACGATTCTCCAACTCAGGATGAGCCATTTTTCTTCCCTATGCCTCCACATCCCTCTCTCTTAAATGGTGATAACAACAGTCCCCACTTCTGGGTGGTTATGAAGGCTAAATAACTTATTGTTTGTAGATCACCGAGAACCGCTAGTACATAGAAAGTCGGGCAAAAAAAAATGTAGGTCTTGGTGCAATAAACCGATTACAAACATCCATGGTCTCAGAACTTCTGAACAGACACTGCTTCTGAAAACCCCTCGAATCTAACTGTAGGAAGGTGTAGACGGTAGCAAGTCAATACATACTTAAAAGACACGCGGTCTTCAAGTGATGTAAGAACGCAGTGTACCTGCAGAAATAATTGTAAGTAACCTCCCAGCTTCTTAACTTCTTGTCTCAACTCATCCTCGAGCCTCGCCGCGCCGGCACAAGGTAGGGCATCGCGCAGCCAGTGCCTAAGGAGCAGCACAAGCTGCTCAAAAGCACAAGCGATCCGGATGGTCAGGGACTGCGTTGCTCGATCAGAGAACACTTGGGAAGAGGAAGGAAAATTATTGGAAAAAAACAATCTTCAAATAAAAGAGCTTATATAGGACCCCCTTGACTTTCACACAGTCAAAAGATGCATGCCACATGCACCAAATAATCATTCAAAACAAAGTAACCGAGAAAACCGTCATCCGTGTGCGTTAACAAAAGCGGTGAGATTGCTTACAGTTATCTTGACTTTCTTCATCTTGCTCTTCGTGGGCTTTGGAAACGGCAAGGAGCCCATTATAAATTGTAAGAAAATTATTCATCAGGCTGTCTTCTATAGTTTTTTCTTCATCGTAACTCTGACCAAGGAATTCTAATGATGAACCAATCAATTCTTTGCAAATCCCAGGAAGAAATGATTCTGTTGAATTTGAGTAGATAGCGCTTGACTTTTCCATTAAGCCTGTATCAATAGAAAATAGTTATCTTAGCCTAGTTTTCAGGCCCAGTACTTTCAAACAAATGCATTCATGCAAACGTGTTTCAGAAGCATTGGTCAATACATTTATGGTAGGCTATGCTTATTTCAACACACCCTTATTTCTAGATGTCATTTGTTTGACAATTTCATGAGAGGGATCGATGAGCCTCTCAACGGCATCAATTGATTGCTTTAGGAGGTCCTCGACTGCAGCAGACAGCAGAGTTCAGACAGTCCACATTACCATGGTTTCATCTCCTTCTTGGCTTCTGTTTGTTTGTTGCCAGAGGGCGTATTTGTTCACCAGAGAGGCAGAGGGAGAGGAAGAAAGCACCCCCCTCCCAATGGGGTATGGTCCCATGGCGATCCCTATCCTCCATTTCTCCATCCCACTGGGATTTGGGGCATGTGTGCACATGAGCCCAGTGCATTTTCAAGTTCCAGGGCTAGGTTAAGGGATCTGGCTCCCTTAACCCCTAGGCACGGGGCTGGTCCAATTTCCTTCTTCTTATTCACTTTTCAGCAGTGACTGATTTTCCCTAATATCTCTAAGGAATTGTGAACTCGTGAAAAACAATGACAGTTACATAAAATAAAATCAGAAATGTATTCCTTTATACACCAGGAAAGAAGGCGATAATAAACTATATTAAAAGAAGTGTTTCCTCACTTACTTTTTACTATTAGGTTGTCGAGAAAGTCATGGTGCATTTTTGCATTAGAAACACGACATGACTTTCCCGACAACCTCATAGTTCCATCTCAAGGTACTCTACAGTCAAGATGGGCTGAAGCCAGCGGACTGTCTATAGTTAACACAGCACATCTCTGGCAGAGACTTCAAGAAGTACGGGGGCCTGGATGGTGGTACGGGGGTAAAACGCAGTGCTCCATGAGGCTGGCCCACAAGGGAAGGTTCTGGATTCACATCCAGAGATCTCCCTGAACACATCATGCATGTACACGCCCGTGAACCATGGCTAGCTGAAGCCGGGGGTGGGTTGTAACATTAGGACCCTGTCAGGAGTGCTGTCTCTGTCTTTCTTGCTCAAGGAAGAAATAAATAAACTTTTTTTAAAAAAGAATTATTCAGTGGGACCAGCAGATGGCATAATGGTAACATCACTGGACTCCCACATAGTTGACCACAGTTTGAGTCCGGGACCCGGCAACTTAAAACTCACACTGGGCATGTGTGCATGCATGCCCAAGATCCTGAGAGGAGAATAGAGGAGAAGCAACCATGGCATGGCCATCCCCCGTAGGGGGTGATTTCTCATTTTTGGTCTCTCTGTCTCTCTGGCAAGTGCATGTGCCTTACAGCAAACATTTCTCTTTAAAAAAAAAAAAGTTACTCATTTAATATTATAAATTATTATTATTATTTTAATTTTTGCTATAGACCATATGAGCTCACCAAAGAGAGAGAGGGGGAGGGATAGTGAGAAAGCCACCAGGTCCAGGCAGGACTTGAACCACAGTCAGCCACACGGGAGTCCAGCGCCTTAACCACCATGCCACGTACTGGACCCACAATTTTTTTTAACAAGCATAATTTCTAAGTACTGTCCCAACTAGAAATAATTGAAAAAGCTCATTCAGATCCTCTAGAAATAATTTCATTTTGGTGTGCTATCTGAGTATGATGATTCTCATTTAATATATAAAATCAGTTCTCTGGTTTCCCTTTCTGAACTGGGCCAGGGCTGCTTGTGGGTCCTGAGACCGGAAAGTTGACAACTTCTTTGTATCTGGGAGGCTGGTCCCAGTGACTCTATAGTTGTCACCATTCTACAAAACAAAATATATTGAGGGGGAGGGATAGTGAGAAAGCCACCAGGTCCAGGCAGGACTTGAACCACAGTCAGCCACACGGGAGTCCAGCGCCTTAACCACCATGCCACGTACTGGACCCACAATTTTTTTTAACAAGCATAATTTCTAAGTACTGTCCCAACTAGAAATAATTGAAAAAGCTCATTCAGATCCTCTAGAAATAATTTCATTTTGGTGTGCTATCTGAGTATGATGATTCTCATTTAATATATAAAATCAGTTCTCTGGTTTCCCTTTCCCCACAGGGCCAGGGCTGCTTGTGGGTCCTGAGACCGGAAAGTTGACAACTTCTTTGTATCTGGGAGGCTGGTCCCAGTGACTCTATAGTTGTCACCATTCTACAAAACAAAATATATTGAACCAAATTGTAAATGTTATGGATACCATTTAGATTACCATGAGTAAAAGAGAAAGAAAGTTGAGGGGCTCATGAACGTTCAAAGAAGGCAAAAATACGACTGGTCTGAAGGATAAACTCTAGCATAAACAGCACCATGCTGAGAAAATACAAATAAAAACGGCTATCAAGATGCACAGATGGGGACCAGCAATTAGTGTAATGGCTGTGTCGCTGGACTCCCACGTAGTCGACCACGGTTCGTGTCCCGGACCCAGTGGCTTAAACTCACGCCAGGCGCATGTGCATGTGTGCCCAAGATCCCAAGAGGAGAATGGAGGAGAAGGGATTGCGGCGTG